CGCTGCCGCTGGGCCCGGGCGGGGCCCCAGGCAGGGCTGGGGGCCCGGCCAGTGCGGGGCTGTGGGCCCGCCGCTGCCGCCCCTCTGATCTTTTTTTCATTTTTATCCAGGTCCTCAGGACTGTAGACATGAGATTGCATGATAACTTCATAAATAGTTGTTCTGTCTCTGACATCTTCCATGTCAAATTCCAAAAATTAGCTTCTTAAACTTTTTCTTTCTTTCTTTCTTTCTTTCGCCAGTGCGGGGCTGTGGGCCCGCCGCTGCCGCCCCTCTGATCTTTTTTTCATTTTTATCCAGGTCCTCAGGACTGTAGACATGAGATTGCATGATAACTTCATAAATAGTTGTTCTGTCTCTGACATCTTCCATGTCAAATTCCAAAAATTAGCTTCTTAAACTTTTTCTTTCTTTCTTTCTTTCTTTCTTTCTTTCTTTCTTTCTTTCTTTCTTTCTTTCTTTCTTTCTCTTTTTCTTCTTTCTTCTTCCCTCCCTCCCTCCCTTCCTTCCTTCTTTCCTTCCTTCTTCTTCCCTTCTTTTCTTTCTTTCCTTTGCTTTCTTTTTTAGGTATAGCAAAGCAGGGAGTTTATTGAAGGAGAAAGAAGGAAAAACAGTTCCCAAGAAAAAGTAAGGGGTCCTGGAAAATGGGTCTCCAAGAAGGAACTGGGGCAAGAGGTTTTTATCTGGATCAGTCTCCACAGTTATTTCCTTCCTACTACCCACAGGACAAATAAAAAATTCTTTTGTTTGTATGTCATTCAGGGTTCCTCTCAACTTGCTCTCACATTTTATTTCTAATATTTGTCTTGTAACTCTCATTTGAGTCATCATCTCCAATTAATGTAGTATAATCTTAGTTTTACAACCTGAACTTATCATTATTTTATTCATATATTGTTCATTTTTTAGGCACTGATCATGAAACTTGCCCCACCCATTCTATTTCATCAAAATATTGCTTTTGTGTATGTGTTACAGCTTTGTTTGTATTATTATTTTTTTTAAAAAATGTTTTTCCATATGCCACATATACTTTCCAGAAAGAGACAGAGAGAGAGGTAAAGTGAGAAATTACTCTCCAGTGGGAATGGCCATGCTGCAATCTCTTCTACATTCTCCTCTTGGAATTTTGGGAACACATGCACACGTGCCCAATATGATCCTCAAGTGCTGGATCTGGGACTCGAATTGTGCTGTCAGCCATGTGGGATCCAGCTCCCTTAACATCTATGTCTGATGGCTCTGTTTGTGTTAGTTAGATTTAACTTTCTCACTAGCTAGATTTAAGTTTCTTTAGGGTAAGGAATATGAGTTATATTCTTCTTTTATTCTTTTACAAATACTTTTTTCCTCCATTAGAGAGACACACATGCAGAGACAAGCATTCCAACAGGGTTCCCATACTGTAGTCCAATCCCAGTTTCAGTCAGACTTGGTCACATGCCATGTGCACACATCTTGGCATGAGCATGTGCCTGGTGTGCACGGGTAGGTCTGGGGATGCAAACCCAGGACATTCCCAGTTTTTCCTCTGCTGTACCACCCACCTGGTTCCATATATTCTGTCTTTACTGCTCTGGGGTAGCTACTGTGATAGTGAGAACTCAATCTATGATCTATATCATTACCAAATTTATTTAACAAACATATATTGACTAGTGACCTCCTACTGTGTATTAGGCATTATTCTGGACACTAGGGAATTATACTGATAATTTAAAAAGTCTGTGAAAAATGGAAATATAGCATGAGCTTATTTTAGTACAGAAAAATTCAAATATACATTATTTTTTCATAATACCAATTTTGAATATTCCTTATAGGAGTGATATCTGGCTCTCATAAAGTTCATATTCTAGTGTGGGGAGATGCAAATCAAGAAATAGATAAGTAAACACATCATATGCAATTTTTTTAGCAGTGAGAAATTCTTTGGAGAAACAAAGTGAAAGGAATAGATAATAATGAGAGAGGATGCTAATTACATAGGATGGTTTTTGTTTAAGTTGAATTTTGAAAGGAGACCTAAATGAAGTGAGGGAGTTCTGTCTTGACCATTTCAAGTTTTAAGCAAGCCCAAAGACAAGAAAGTGATCAACTGAATGTGGGAACAGTCTGATAGGTATGCTCGGAGAACCAAATTTAAATGATAGCTATTCGAAAGTCAAGAAAAGACCAGCTGGAGGCATGGTGGTTAAAGTGGCTGGATACTAAATGATCTACTGTGTGGTTTGAGTCCTGTTCCTAATTTTTTGGGGAACATGTGCCCAGAATTTCTAGAAGAGAATGGAGGAGAAAGGATTGCAGTGTGGCCCTCTCTGTCTCTCTCTACCTCTCTCCAGCATGCACCCTTTAACAAATTAGCAAAACAAACAAAAAAGGCAGGAAGAAAATTTTTGTTCAAAAGTATGCCTCACATTTACAATTTAAAAATGTGGAAGACTCGGGACTGGTTTGAATCTTTATGGACTGTTTGGTTCGAAGATGTCTAAGGTCCCAGAATTCTCTTACATGGATAGGACAAAAGTAAAGACATCACCAGGAGAGGACAAGACAGTGGAGCCC